GGGGCTGGAGCTCTGGTGCCCGAGGACGGCTGAAGCCCCAAACCCCGCAGGACTGAAGGTAAGGGATCACAATGTTTTCTGGTGGGGAGGTCACTTTTTTTTTTTTTATAAGTCCAGATGGGAGCACCAGCAAAAAAAGTTTGAGAAACACTGCTCTAAAGTTTTACGGTTTTATTTTTGAGTGCAGTGATGTAAAAAAATAAAATCTACATTTGTAAATTGCACTTTCACAATAAAGAAATTGCACCGCAGGACTTATATGAGATGAAGTGAAATACTTTCTTTTGTTTTAGCCTTTTTACAGTTCAAATATTTGTAATAAAAATAATATAAAGTGAGCACTCTACACTTGGTATTCTGTGTTGTAACCATAATCAATATATTTGAAAAAAACATCCAAAATATTTAAATAATTTGTATTGTATTATTATTTAACAGTGTGATTAAAACTGCGATTAATCACGATTAATTTTTTAATCACATGACAGCCCTAATTCAAAGCCAGGTTTTCTCACCACATGCTTTCAGTAATCTTCCTGACCAAACTTCTTAGGTCAGGACCCCTTTTCCAGTTCAATGGCTGTATCCACAGTCCCTTCTAGTGCAGTGAATCGATGGAGAGAGAGGGGAGGGGTGGGATGTATGCCCCTTCTTTTTATAATCCTTTCCCCCTTTATAGAAGCTTTTCCAGCTGGGAGCAAGACATAGGCAGTCTGTGTGGAAGGGAACTCTGTGCTGTTTCTTTGCTAAGAAATAGATTTTTTGTCCCTGCCCCCTTTCCGGCCAAAGAATGGCCACTCAGCAGGTAATGGTCCATCAGCCTTGTTTACACCTGGCCGAGGTATCAGCTTGCTCTTTGTCTCTGAACTCATTTGGCCACTTCCCTGGCCACTCAGGCTTCTCAAGAAAACATACTTTTAGTCATGATCTCAGCTTACATTTATAACTTCACATATAATGCTGCTATGTGCATTTTACCATGATGTTATTGATCAGCAAATTATGAATTTTTAAATGACATCTCACAGATATACTGTGTACAAAGTTCATTACAACCGTGTGTAGGGTGTGGCTATATGGGTACATTCTGTCACAGCATCCCCACGCCTCTAGACTATGCTGCCTTTCAGAAAGATTGACTCTTAAAAAGTCAATCTGTGAGATAAAAAATATGCATAGCTAAAGCTAAATACAAGCAAAACAATGCTGGTGAGGTCAGAAAATCCTGATCCATACAGCAACTACACTGACATTTTGGTAAAATTATCATCAATATCAGATCATTGCCTTTCTGGATAATCACTAGATTGTGTGTTTGCTAAAAGAGCGATGGAGAACTGCTAGACTCTTATTATAGGTAATTGCTCTTTACAATGACTGGATGTCTCACGTGAAAATGAATCAGTGACATCCACTGTAGCAGAATCAATTAAATAATTGGAGAGCATAGCTAGTGTCTTTGATGTTGAAAGGAAAAAATTCAATAAGCAGTCTCATCAAGCTTTCTAACAAAGCAGAAATAAGGGCTGCAGGCAAGAACACATTGACATCACAGGTCAGTGAGGGTTTATGGATTGTGTACCTTGGAAAGTAGGTAGAATATAGCTGTACAGGATGTTCAATTGTTAGTCAGTTATCTTAGAGGATGTCAGAGTATGGTTGGGAAGACTTCTAAAAATACAAATGTTTCAGCCAGACGTCAAAGATTTCTCACCTTACACAGATTTCTATGAGAATATTATCAGTGTACTGAGGAGACGTCAGGGCAGTATTTCAGCAGTTGTGCTGCTGGATGCTGGAACCTTATCCTTAGAAGATTCATTTTCATATTTATTAACCAATTTGTGTCTGGCAGATCAGCATGTTTCTGACAATGATGTACCCATATGTCCCTGTATTAATAGCTTAGGGATAGTAGTCTGCAAAAAAACAAAAAAAATTGCAGCTCCCATTCCGAGAAAAAGAACAGCTGGTAGGTGAACAGCACACAGCATTAGGAAGAGAAATTTTGTCAAAATAGACTAAGGCAAATCTGTAGTTTCATTTTACACTGAGTGCCATGGGAAAATTAAAGTGTACATGGTGTTAGGACACAGATATTCAGGCCTGTCTGTAAAGGCCTATACTCTAAGAATTTAGGTGTATTCTTATCACTTGGCTAGTGATAGAGGTATAAAAGAAAGAATCAAAATCACTGTCTGCCGGTATAAGGTCCTTCTCTTACTGTGACAGTCTGAGGCCCTGTTCTTAGGCCAATGCCTTTGGCTAAGCAGCAAAGGCAGCCATAAGCTGGGAAGCGACCGGTCACATCCTCACATTCCAAACTAGTCAATATGGGGCTGTTAGGAAGGTGATCGATCGATCACCTCCAGAGAAAGGGAAGAGCCTAGAAGATGTAAAAGGAAATTTAGGTTGATAGTTTTCTGTCTGGTAAGAACTCACTTATCAATAGTCACAGCTATGAAACCCTTATGTCTTTATAGATCTAGTTGTGAAATCCTCACTTCTGTATTGTTTTGTCATTATAGTTCCCACTTTGCTATTATTTGCATGGTCTCTGTCTGGTTCTGTGATTGTTTCTGTCTGCTGTATAATTAATTTTGCTGGGTGTAAACTAATTAAGGTGGTGGGATATAATTGGTTAGCTAATCATGTTACAATATCTTAGGATTGATTAGGTAAATTTCAGTAGAATGATTGGTTAGGGTATAGCTAAGAATATTACTATATAAATTAGGGGCAAAAGGAAGTAAGTTGGGATTCAAAAATAAGGAAAAAGGAACTTGGATTTAAGGCTGCTGGAAGTTCACCCCAATAAACATCGAATTGTTTGCACCTTCGGACTTTGGGTATCGTTGCTCTCTGTTCCTGCGAGAAGGACCAGGGAAGTGGGAGACTGAAGGAATAAGTTCTCTAACACATGGGACCTCATCTGAAAAAATCTTCACACAACAAACTCTATTTACCTGTAAGGATGAAGGACTGAATCAACCCTGCCAGAATTTGAACCTGTCATTCCAGGGATTCCTGAGTAATCCAAGCTGGATGTATGATTTTTGTGAACCTTAATGCTGTCTCTTGTGACAAACCCTAACCAGAATATAGCATTCCAGATAAATAACTAATCAATGGAAAAAATAACTCTAAACAAACAAACAAAAAGTTATGGCCCCATAGTTAAGACTGTAACCAGGTTCCATTAGAGACCTATTTGCAGTCCCATTTTTACATTGGTTCTTTGGCTATCAAACTTGCTTAGCTTGAAATTGTCATGTTTACTCTCAAGGCTATGGAGATTTTTTTTCTGTTGAGTTTGAAGAAAACTGGTCAAGCCTCTGTTACAGATCATTTAAAAAGTTACTGCCCCAGATACTATCCTGACCCAAGATACGGTCAGCCCAGAGTCAAGGGAGGACCTTCAGGGAGCAAGTTATACTTCCGTGATTCTCACAGTGCATTTGTGCTGGCATGATCTTGATTGAGAGTAGAAGGAGAAATATTTGAGTACGTCCTGCTGCATATTACTGGTTTCATTCTACAGACAGGGAAGTGGGAATGAGGGTGGAGGGGGCAACATAACAGAGAGTAAGGTGAGCTTTTGAACAGTCACATTGTGGACGTAGCTTATTACCAGGGATCCTAGAACTTCATTTGCCACGGAAAAAGGCAGAAAAACATGGAATTTACGTTTTTACAGAGAATTTTTAGTGTTTACATTTTGTGAAAAAATAAAAACATACGTTAACTACATTTTACTGAAGGAACTAGTGTCACTTATTCAATGTGTGTAACCTCCCCCTGGTGTGGTTGATTTTTGAATGCGCTGACGGCCAGAGCCCTCACCGCTGTCACTGGTAGGCTTCAAACTTGCTTAAAAATTGTGAATATATCAATAAAACACTGTTTTCAACTGATTCCTATGTATATTGTGGCTAGGGACACTAAAGTTCAGCATTTCATTTTAATCGTGGAAAAACATGGATTTTAATGGGGTTTTTTAATCAGAGAACTTTGGCTTTTTTATCATGGAAAACTAGAATACCTGCTGATTACTCAGTTGCTGGAATAGCCCAAGTACTGTTGACAATTGGCACAAGCTAGCATCTTTATGTTACTCAAATATTTGCCCATGCATGGGCCAGCACTTGGTGGCCCCAGGATGGGGGGAATGCAAAGGCTGCTTAAAGCCATGTTTGGATTAGCCCGATCCAAAATTCTACTGAGCAAGTTGATTCACAGATGTTTAAAAATTACATCTTTGAAAATATGTTCAGTATCCAACTTTTGTGGGTATCTCCAGCTAAAAAATGGTTAGACTGTAACACTCCAAACTTTGTATAGAGTTAAATACAATTCAAATCCAATTGTCATGATATAAACATATTCTAGTTGGATGACAAGTGGCTAACATTGGGACAGAATTAAGATTGTTTTTGGAAAATTTAATAATGTTTTACATGAGTACATTTATTTAAGAGATTGCATGAACTATGAAGATATCAGAGTATTTATCTTCCTTCCCTTAATTGTTCATTTCCATGCAGTTTTTAATGTTATTTAACTGTAATATTTTCAAATTTAATGTTTAAATAACAATCTCAACTCAAAGATAATGAATATTTTTTCTCTGTCAGTAATTTAAAACTTAACACACACCACATAAAAGGATAACCTAAACTGTTAAGGGGTCAGTCTAATAAACAATTTTTTTCTTCTCTACTCCAACATGAGCCAGTGCCATAGATGACTACAAAATTGTATCTGATAGGAGAGAGAAATCTAATAAAGAAACACATTTACAATATGCATGCTAATGCTTGCCAGAAGTCTCAAATGAAGTTGAATTGCTATGAAACTGTTTCTCTATTGAAACCTTCTCTACCTTGTCCACTTTGTTCCATCTTAAGCAAATTAAATAGTGAAGTCATACACAGATCAAAGAGAATGTTAAGCCATAACTTACTTGATTCTCTCCCTCTTTTAGGATCAGTAACTTCTCATCTCAGATGGAGTGATGATTAACTTGTTCTTACCTCTGTGCTATGCTACAGTATTTCTATTAAAATTGCTTTACAAGATCATAATTTCCAAATAAACTGAAGAGATGAAGCCTCCATTGTAGAAACAGAGATTTCCCTAGAGTACCTGATACTAGGTGGACCAGTACTGGAAGGCAAGCCAGTTATCAGTCCATGGTATGTTTCTAATATTATCTATTATTTAGAACAGTGGGTCTCAAATTTTTGTATTGGCGACCCCTTTCACACAGCAAGCCTCTGAATGCGACCCCACTTATAAATTTATACATATATATATATATAACACTATTATAAATGCTGGAGGTTAAGTGGGGGTTGGGGTGGTGACTGACATTTGCGACCCCACACATAATAACCTTGTGACCCTTTGAGAACCCCTGATTTAGAAGCTCCCTAGGTGGTATCAGGTGTTTTGGGATGGTGATGATGAGACCAGGTAAAGAAGTTTTGTGGCCATGGGCCAGTTCCCAGAAAATCCCAATCCCTTGCACTTGTGAGGTTTACTCTAGGAATGAACAGCTGGAGCATGCTGGATGAACTCCGCTGCCTTGGTAGATCATGGTTACAGAGAAAACTCGGATTGAGACCATTAAACCCTTCAGGATCAGGGCCTTAAATATGATCTGGTACTGGACATGTAGCCAGTGTATGTGTTCCTAGTGCTACTCACAAGAAGAGATCCTGCATGTTGTACCATCTTGAATTTCTCTGAGGCAGCTACTCTCAATTCCAAACATAGTGTACTGAAGTACTTGCACCTAGATCACTATGAATACTTGGATTGCTGCAGCCAGATCTGGGAAGGGGTGCACGCTCTTGGCAAACTGAATATGATAAACGGCATTTATTTCTGATAACTGACGAATTTGGATGTCCAGGATCAGTGAAGACTCCAGAGCACCCCCAGGGGTCTCCTTCCTATGCTACACTTCTTCCCCAGAGCTGGGGGGCCTGTTATGACAACTGGGTCCACAAGTCTACCAGAATTATAACTGTAAAAAGTTTGTAAAAGTTTATGTGAGATGTTAAAATAACCTATTATAACAAATGTTGATGGGAAAAGGTACGAAAAAGGAGACAGAATAATTTAATTAGTCTAAAACAAAAAGGCCAATTTGATATGATCTGAGGACTGTATTGAAATTATGCCATTCTGAGAAAACTGTATGGGCAGATTCTGGTCCCCCATTCTGTCCTTTCTGTGTCACTTTATGCAAGAGGGCCATAAAGCTCAGTTAACCAGTCAGCTCAACATTCTCCTAGTGTGGAAGAATATACAAGGGGGACACAGCCAACATAGCTTGTCCTACACTGCTCCCCACCACAGTCATTGTGGTATGCCCAGGGAAAGGAGAAGTAGCTGGTACACCACTCCACTTTTTGCAGTCTTTGGCTAAGCTAATGCCCCTTGGGGCCATGCAGCTGTTGCATCTTAGAACAACCCCAAGGCTGCGCTATTTTTCACTATGAGCTGAACCAACCCCCAGCCAACAAGGAGATTAGGGAGCTGCAACATGGTTTACAGTCACTTTTACTTCCTCCTCTCCTCAGCTACACCAAGCAGACATCAGCTACAGGTGCAGATTGAACCCTTAATTATTTATGTGATCCCTAAATTACTGAAACCATAATCCAATAAGAAATCAATTAACTATTTCTCTTTTTTAAAAAAAAAATAAATTGTTTATCTTAGATTTAGAGCTACTTTTTAATTCAAGGTTTCCTAAATGTAATGTATACTTCCTATCAGAATAGCTTATAAACATTTCACTGAAAAATCTTCAGGATTTAACATGATGCATTTTATGTGTTTATAAAGAAGTTTTAGTTTTTAAAAAACTGTCAAAAAGATATTATTAGAATATTCTGATACTCCAAAAGCAGCACAGAATGATGTATGTTTGAGCTAGTCAGAACTCCTGGGGAGAGTTAGATTTAAGATTTGGCAGGAAGAAGTTGCAATAACATTATAATTATAATTAGCAGCAAGGAAAATTTTTTTAGTAAAAAGCTTAATATTTTTTATTGCATTAAACACCAAGATTTGACTAGGTCATTTTGTTCAACATCTCCAGAACTCTTCTATATGTCATGTTTAGAGAGTTAAATGTTAATTCTTCTCCACATCTCTTTGTTATAAAGTTCAAGTGCACCCTTTATTTATTACAATGCAATTTGTATAAATCACGTACAAAGACAAAAGATTGATTAGTGGTTAGATTATTAGCCTGGGACTTTGGGAACAAGTGTTCAGTTCCTTTCTTCCCCTCAGACTGCCTGTGTGACCTTAGGCAAGACACTTAGGCCCAGATCCTTAAAGGTATTTAGGCACCTAAATCCCCCTGAAATCAGTCAGGTGCCTAAATAACTTTGAGGTTCTGTGTGGGCTTTAATCTCTGTGCCTCAGATCACTAATGGTAAAATGGAGATAATAGCACTTCCCTACCTCATAAGGGTTTTATGAGAATATGTGAGTTGTTCAGATACTATGTTAATGGGTGCAATCTAAGTACCTTAGACAGAAATTTGAATCTCTTTACTGCTAAGATAGGAAAAACATATCAATATATGGAAAAACCTGATCTTAGAAAGCAAACAGTTCACTCACCTAGACATGTGCATCCTTTGGTTGTTGGGCTTTTCACTTTCTGTTTATTGTAACTGTCAATGTATTTCTTAAACTTGACAGACAAATAGTAAATGGGTTACTTACAAGTACAAATGTAAGTCATTGTTATTGTTCTTCTTTTCAGAGTGCCATTTTACAGAAATCTCTAAAAATGGGACCAGATCCTCATCCCTGCTAACGTTGCTTTGTACAACTGAGGTGGCTCAAAGGGACCAAAACAGCCCCAAAGAGAGAACAATTAGCGAATTCACCAACAAGGGGGCATCCTGACCTGATGTAATGCTATGTAGCCAACTTTATGCTGGCCCTTTCTTCCTCCCCAGTGGGAGGAAGACATTCAATTCAATTCAATTTCTTCCTCCCCAGTGGGGCTGGAGTGCTTGTGTTCCACTGATCTCCAGCTGGTGGAAGATGTCCCTGGGCTATCTTCCTAGCCGCCATAAGTTAGAGTAGTCTCATGCCTACTGTAACTTGTGCTGGGGAATAATTTGGTCAACCCAGAAGTGGGAAGTTGTTGGATCTACTAGAACTGGGGGGAGAGGAGGTTGTGCAGTCCCAGCTCCGCTCCAGCCAAAGGAACTTTGATACCTATGGTCAGATTTCTCGTGACTTGTTGGATAAGGACTATGAATGGGACACACTTCAGTGCCGTGCAAAGATAAAGGTGCTGAGGCAGGCATACCAGAAGACAAGGGAAGCAAACTGGCGCTCTGGTGCTGTGCTGAAGACCTGTCACTTCTATAAGGAGCTGGACGCCATCCTTGGTGGCTACACCCACCTCCACTGCCAGGAGCCCCACTGATACTTTGGCATGGCTGGAGGCACCAGGCAGTGGACTCAACCCCAAGGACAAAGTTTTGGACGAGGAAGTAGAGTTGGAAGACAATGTGGAGCACACAGCATTGTCATCCAGTGGCACATCGAGTCAGGACCTCTTTTCCACTCCAGAGGGATGTAGCCAATCCAAGCAGTACGTCTCTGGCACACATGATGCAGGAGAGGAGAATCCTGGTAAGTGATCTTTTTGTGTTGATGCTGCTTGATTATATGAGGTAGAGCTGTCCTTTGCTCTGTATTTTGTAGAAGTGGGTGAAGGGATACAGATGTACAAGACAAGCTCTGTTTGAGTGTGCTCCACATTCCCTTGTGCAGCTAAGCAGTGTAGCAGAACAGTCTGTTAATGCACACCAAGATTTCACGTGCATCCTCCTAAGAGATCTCCAGGAAACTTTCCTAGAGGTACTCGCCAATCCTCTGCTAAAGGTTCCTTGGCAGAGCTGCTTTGTTCTTTTCCCCATTATAGGAAACTTTCCTGTGCCACTTGGCAATCACTTGTGCAGAGACCAAAGTGGAACACAGGTAAGCAGCATAGAGACCAGGTCTGAAACAGCACGCATGCAAGAGATGCATACTTGCATCCTTACTTACCCTCAGGAGTGAGATATCGATTTTCAGTGACCCCTGATGGTTGAAAATAATGGCAGAATTTACAATATTGTCCCTAGTCGCCTGCAGTGATCCCCTTAAAAAGCCACCTAGACTCTTTGCCCCATCTTGAATACCCAACCCCCCTACCCGAGCTGAACTCACCATGTTTAGGGTGTTCACCGAGATGCGTACTTGCCCAGGGACAGTGAGAAAGTAATTCATATGTTAAAAGAGGTGTATTTTACTATAATCATTCAATGTTCTACGTGAACTAACAATTATGCTTCTGTGTATTGTTTCTTGTGCTTCTGCAGGTGTGGCCTTCAGGGGAACCTGCTACAAACCGGAAGAGTTACTCCGACAGATAAGGAAGTGACCAAGGTGGAGCAAGGAGGACATGTTCTGAGAGATGCTCCAATCCTAAGAGGCCGAAAAAAGAGAACACAGGGAGTGGCGAGAGACCCCGAAGGAAAAATGTAATATATAAAAGTAGGAGAGAAAGGAGAGTGAGGAGCACATTGTAAAGGGCCAGGAGCGGATGACAGAAGTGACGGAGGAGCAAACAGAGATGTTGAAGTCCCTAATTATGCTCCAGGCAGAACATGTGTGCTCACCCCTCTTGCAGCCAATATAGAACTGTTTTCCATGCCCTCCCCAAACTCCTCCCACACATTCCTTGCAACTTCCCAGAATGTCTCAGTACCCGATTCACTCCACCCCTTCGGACAGCTTCCAAAATGATAAGTGGACTTACACACAGCTATGAGAGCCTACAATCTTATCTCCCTCCCCACAAAGCCTTTTGTGTATGTTGTTAATTGCTATTTAATAAAAACAAACTGTCTGAAAGATAACCAATCTTAATTCATCTCCTACGTGTGACGATTGCTGCTGGTAGTAATACATGGTGTCAGTTTGATCATTTGCGGACTACAAATCGTGATCAGGAATCATTACAATTTTCATGCAAGGTGGCAAGTTAACAAAGCATGGCAGAGTGCTGTATAGAAAGACACATTACCGGTGCTCATTGTCAAAATGTTGCCTCAAAGCCTCCCTGATTCAAATAGCCCTCCATTGTGCTCCTCTAATAGCCCTGGTATCTGGCTGCCCAAATTCAGCAGCTAGGTGACCCGCCTCCACGCTCCAGCCTGTGGGAAACTCTTCACCCTTAGCCTCACAAATACTGATGGTGCATGCAGCAGGATACTATGACCACAGAAATATTTTTCTCATTTAGATCTGACCTGCCATGAAGGCAGCGCCAGCATTCTTTTAATCTGCCAAAGGCACATTCTACTGTCATTTTGCACCTGCTCAGCCTTATTACTGAAGTGCTCCTTGCTGATGTCTAGGTTTCTCGTGTAAGGCTTCATGAGCCATGGGAGTAAGGTGTATGCTGGATCTCCAAGGATCACTATGGGAATTTTAACATCCCCTACTGGAATCTTCTGGTCTGGAAAGAAGTTCCTGCTTTCAGCTTTCTGTACAGGCCAGTGTTCCTAAAGATGCATGTGTCATGTACCTTCCTGGCCCATCTCGCATTGATGTCAGTGAAACACCCACGGTGATCCATAAATGGCAGCAATACCATGCAGCAGTACCCCTTTCTATTAATGTATTCTATTGCAAGATGGTCCCAGGCCAAAATTGGGATATGCATGCCATCTATCGCCCCACTGCAGTTAGGGAATCCCATCACTGCAAAGCCACACAATATTTCATACACATTGCCAAGAGTCACAGTCCTTCGTAGAAGGGTGTGATTAAGGCCCAGTGGTCGACTTCCTGACTCCAAATTGATTCGCGACCGGCCAGTTGCAGTCTGTAGTTGTTAGCTTCCACACAGCAATCACCATGCACTTCTTCACAGAGAGGGCAGCTATCATTTTGGTGTCCCTGCAACACAGGGCTGGGGCGAGCTCCGCACACAGTTCCTGGAACATGGCTTTCCACATCTGAAAGTTCTGCAGTCGCTGCTCGTCATCCCGAGCCTGCATAACGATGCGATCCTACCACTCAGTGCTTGTTTCTCAAGGCCAAAAGTGATGGTCCGCTGTGTTCAGCTGCTCCATGAATGCCAAAAATAATCAGTGTTGTTTCTTTCCATGGCACACAGCAGGTCAGGCAATTCTGACTCCTGTTCAGATTCAGAGCTCATGGTACACTGCATGACCATCTGCAATGTGTTCATAACAATGACCACAACAGTAGATAGCAGTGTGGGATCCATCCTTTCAGACAGAGATGGTGGGCGCACAGTAAACAGGTCGTTGAATGCCGCTAAATGCAGTTAAATGCCGTCAGAAGCCAATGGAATGCTGAGACGGAAAAAAATGCATCATGGGACATTGAGCCCACACCTATAATGCACTGCAATCTACTCTGCCTTCCCACAACTCCTAGCTGTAGAAGGTGGCAAGTAGCACAGTGGGATAGCTACCCGCAGTGTATTGTTCTCACTGTCGATGCTAGAGCACCAACTGTGAACGCACTTTGTCGACAGAAGGAGCGATGTAATTATACTGGCTTTTTTATTACATTACAAGCAATGTAATTATACTGGGTTTTGGCTGTTGGCTTAACTTGCATCAGCAAAACTCTGTAGTATAGACAAGGCCTAAGAAAGTACAGTAGAACCTCAGAGTTAGGAACACCAGAGTTATGAACTGACCAGTCAACCATACACCTCGTTTGGAACTGGAAGTATGCAATCAGGCAACAGTAGAGACCAAAACAAGAAAAGCAAAGCAAAGCAAATACAGTACGGTATTGTGTTAAATGTAAGCTACTAAAAAACTAAGAGGAAGTTTAAAAAAAAGATTTGACAATGTCAGGGAACTCTTTCTGTGCTTGTTTCATTTAAATTAAGATGGTTAAAAGCAGCATTTTTCTTCTGCATAGTAAAGTTTCAAAACTGTATTAAGTCAACGTTCAGTTGTAAACTTTTGAAAGAACCACCCTAATGTTTTGTTGTTCCTGAGTTGTTCATAACTCACAAAGCTGAAAGCAAGAAAAGAAAAAAGGAAGTAGAATGCAGGAAACGTTTATGTTGATGTTAGTACATTTTCCTACCAGAAAGGTGTCCCTACTTTACTGTTTCAATGAAATAATGAGTCTAATGACATGTCACATGAGGAAACTTTTTTTAAATGTTGCATAGAGGCTCCACAGTTCTCGTCTGTGGTTATCAATTCCTAAAACCAATGCTCTGGTTTGAAAGTTTACTCCCAGAGTAACTTATACAGAAATATCTATCTGCTGAATTCATTTAAATAAGTTTTGTTTCAATAATTAATAATACTCTTCTTTCTTTTAAAATAAAAACAACAGAAAAACACAGAGGCATTGTCTGGTAATTTCAAATTCTAATTCTTGAACCAACCGAGAGCAGCTTTTGGATCACAATTCAGCAAGGTACTTAAGCACATGCCTAATTTAAGCAGGGGAGTAGTATCATTGCTACCAACAAGAGTATTCACATGCTTTAAGCTAAAAACGTACTTAAGTTCTTTAGTGACTCAAAGCCATAAAGTGAGAAAATCTGCTTATTGACTAAAACAATTTTTACTCTTTTTCACTTGTGTTAGCACTGCAGAGCCAACAAATTAATGAGAGGGAGAGCGAGAGGGAGAGTGAGATGTCAGTCTGTCTGGAATGGTTCATGACTGTGAGTGCCAACCTCAGAGCAGAATGTCAAGAAGCGGGGAAGAGACCCCAAACTAAGTTGTATGTTCTATAATTAAATTTTACCAACCCAAATGTGAATTCCTGAAGCACTGTAACAGTCTTACCATGGAGTCACAGAGAGTCCCCTTGGTAATTCCAGTGCGTCTTGCTATCCAGGCAAGTTGGACTTAGTGACAGTTGCTTGTTATACACCAAAGATCACAAACGATTTAGGTTGATTCAGTCCCAACAGACCAGTCTCTTATCTCTGATCAATTTGTATCTTAGATCTCACAACAAAGACAATGCCTGTAGCCAATCCTATAATAAACTGACTAAAGATTTATTAACTAAGAAAAGAAATGAAAGAGTTATTACAAGGTTAAAGCAAGCAAATGTATATAGCAGAAGTGGCCAAACTTACTGACCCTCACGTACAACACTCCTCAGAAGGTCGAGAGCATGGGTGTGCCTGCTGTGGCTCAGGGCTTCAGCCCCATGAGCGATGTCTGCTGGGGTTTGCGGCTTCAGCCCTGCTCCTGCAGAAGACATGAGCCCTGGCAGGTGCACCCCATGGGGCTGAAGCCCCAAGACTCCCCTTCTCACTGGTCAGAAGCTGCTACCCCACCACCCCGCTCGCTTCAAGACGGCGGTCCCGAGCTCCCCAAGACACACACAGAGAATCTGGTAGGCAGGGAATGGGGGAGGGGAGCTGCGCGAGCCACGCTTTAACAGTAAAAGAGCCAAATGTGTCTCATGAGCCACAGTGTGGCCACCCCTGTTATATACACTAGAGAGTTACAGTCTATGGTTTTAAAAGGTGACAGAGCTATAGAAGTCTGTCAGGTCTGAATATCTCGCAGGGCTAACTCAGGTTGACCCTGGGTATCTCTTCTTCCATTGCATAGCTGTGCCCTTTGAGAGTCTAAATAGCAAAGAGATGAAAAAATTTCTTGTTCACTCTCTTTATTTCCTTCTTCCAGAATTCAAGCTGATGGGAGGAGCCCTATTGCATGAAGCATCTTCATGGGTGTGAAGGGGCAATTAATAAAGCCTTTGCATTGTGATGTCCCACAATGGCCTGTTTAGTTTTGACAGTCCTGAGATAACACCTTTCATAAGGATTTAGCATTTTGCATTAGGTAAAGGTTTTTGTTTTTTCCCCCGTTTTTGAGTTACATAGTTCAGAACAAATATTTTACAGCTATATAGTATACACTTAAGTATTACCTTATGGCATGGGATTATTTTTTATTATATATATATATATAGTATATTTATTATACTAACATTATAATTAAGATTCATACATGTAGCAATTTACAAGCATTTCACAAAGTCTAAACACTAAACATGTTGTTATTATAAGTCCAATACCCATCTTAATCATACTATCACACAGGTGAGCTGGTCTAGTTTCCAGCAATGAAACTGTCAGTGGTCAGCTAATGCCTAAAGCCTTGGCAAGAGCTGACACCTAGTCTGCCAGCACCACACTAGACACTCTGGCTCTTTTAACCAACACTGTTGCTGTTGTTAATTTAGTGCCACTTCCAGAATCTTTACCTCAAAAGGTATTCCTCATTTACACTGTAACTACAACTCTGATAATCCTCAGCTGAGCTACTAGCAACGATGCATAACCAGAAACAAACGACAGTGAGTTTGTAAGTCTGGCATATTTGATTTGGGAAACCTTGGAAGAGGAACACAGAATCCTGTGAGATGACTTTTAAGAAGTCACTTTTCAGAGCATAACTTCAATTTCTTCTTAAAGATTTGACACACAGAGGTATCTCTTTTTGATTTAAAAGGTTCCTCCTGAGCAGCTGGTATTGAGCTAGAGCAGTGATACTCAGACTGAGTCTCAGGAGCCGCAAATGGCTCTTTAATGTGTCTCCTGCAGCTCTTTGCAGCAGGTGATATTAAAACACGGTGTGACTTAATTATTAATTATGAACCAATCTAATTTATTAACCAATCAGGATGCCTTTACTATATCATCAACCAATTGTAGAATACTTGGTCAGTCATTTTGCTGTGAGAAAAAATATGTATCACTAATTTGTCTCCTGAACCACTGAGGTCTGAGTATCACTGAGCTAGAGGATT